TATTCAATACCCGCTCTATCTTTTTGTTCGTACCGTTCCTGTCTCGAACTCATTGTCGAGGCGGGCGAAAGTCACCGTTGCGATTCACTGTGCGATTCTGCCCGTAAGAAAAAGAAAAGGAACGAGAGGAAACAGAAAGAAGAGACAAGAGTGCATCGTTTCCCGTGTGTTTCTTCTTTATCTCTCGACAGGCTCGAGTTTTCTTTCTGTTGTCTACGTCGAATCTCCGCACGATTATGATCTTCCCTTGGACCTCAAGAGCCGGAAAAGAGAAGGGAGCGCGGAACGACGAACACATCGCGATATGCACGACGAGGATCGACGCGCGATTTGGAAACGATTTCATTATACGTACACTGAAGAAAACAATAGTCTTAAATCAATGACAGATATTCTCATACACAGAGAAGATATTGTAGTAAAAATTACTGCAAAAATTTGTAATGCTGGAATATACCGGAATTATTATCGAAATTACTGTGTGTTATAATCTTCAGTGACGTATGTTCATGTGTTCACATCACTAAAGATCACTATTATACATAGTAATTTCGATGATTCCGGTGTATTCCGGAAATATTCCAGCGTTGTAAAAATTGTTACAAGCTTTGTAGCAATTTTTACTGCAATTTTTTTCTCCGTGTGTATAAGCGGGAATATTCTAATATTTGTAGAATATTTTTAGTTTTGAATTGAGTGTAAGGAATACAATCCAATCAATACGAATCCAATTAAATCAAAATCGAAAATCTTCTAAGAAGATTACAATACTCTTGCTTATATATGAGAATACTCGTCATTGATCGAAGACTCATTTTTCCGCGCGTAATAACGCGCGTCGAGCGGCACTCGACGTTAATATATACACATACAACACACGAACGTGTTTTATTCGAATGAAGGGTCGCTCGAACTTAAAGATACTTTTTCTAGCCTCCGGCACGCGCGCCGAACGCGCCGGGAGAATTTCGACGCGGACGTTGAGTCGCGACGAAACACACACACATACACTCCACTTTGCGAAACACTGCCATAATTAATTACGGGATTAAACGGTAGTTAGTCGGTGTTACCGAACATTAGCCTGATCGTTACGCGGCCGCGGAGGCAGCGTGCGACGAGTTCGCTTAAGCGGGGTCTACAGTGAATATTTAAGCTTAGAGCCTTAAGAAATTGACCGTCAATCACAGTCGAATTATAGAAGAATATATCAATTGTGATTGGTCAATTTCTTAAGGCTTCAGGCTTAAAGCATCCGTTGTAGACTAGGACTTAGATAATCGATCGTCGTTTCCCCTTACGTTGGAGACGATCCGCCTTCGGGTGGGGCGCGAAATCTCACCAGGGGGGATCTTGTTTCGGACGAGGGTGCGAATAAATAAAGGAGAATCTCAACCCTCTCGCGACTTCGAATCATCGCGGGGCGTTCGGAACGGTCGGAGAGTAACGACGACCGAATGCGTGAGAGAACGAATATTTCAGATTCCCGCCTTCTCTGCGTCTACTCGGTCTTCCGTCGTAACAATTTGCAATAACACGGAGGGTTGAGAGCGCACGCCCTCGAAATTGAGGGTCGGCCGCAACGTAAAGGGTTCGGCGAAGACGCGGTGAACACATGGAACATTTCTCGCGGGCCACGCGCACCGCTGTTGTTTCGGTAGAGAGAGAGAGAGAGAGAGAAAGAGAGAGAATCTTATCGTGAGATTTATATATCGAGAGCAAGTCGCCCCTCGAAACCCGAAGTTGTTCGTATCTCGCGGGAAACGGCCGACACGGCCGTAATTTCTTACAATGAAAGGATTCGTACTCATCACCCGCGTGTGTTTCTGCGACGTGTTGATTTGAAATTCAACGTACGTGTGCGTGCCTGTCCGTGTGTGTTCCGAGAGAGAAAGAAGGAGGGAGAGTAGCGGGAAGAGGAGGGTCTCAACTGGCCGACCATGCGCAATTTAGATGAAAAAGACGATATAACACTGTAATAATAATAATAATAATAATAATAATAATTATGACGATGATAACATTAATAATAAGAGTAATAAAATAATTAAAAGAACGACAGAGGGGTGGCGCTATTCCGGCTCGTTCGTCTGTCGGGCTCACGCACAAAGGTGATAGGTGATCCGGATATCGCGTGCGTAGAGAAATTGTTGTTGTTGTTACGCGCGTGCGTGTGTGTGTGTGTGTGTGTGTGCGTGTACATACACGTTGTGCACACGTCGAGGCGCTCATAGCAAAGGTGCGAGTCGATGGTGGCCGTTTTACGATTTCACAGGACGCGCTCACGGAAGTCTCCTCCGACGAAGAGAAAGAAAAAGAGAGAGAGGGAGAGAGAGGGAGTCTCGTGTTGTTACGTCGGTAGAGGCGTCCGAGAGCGCTCCGGCGAGAACAATACGAGAGGATTTAATAGTGTAACCACGGCAGGTGAGAGCATTGCGCGAGACATCGCGTGCGCCCTTTGTAATGGCCGATGGCAACATGAACGTACGCGAACGTTCGAACTCTGAATTGACCAACGGGAGCCGACCAATCGCGACCGGGAGCTCGGAAGCAGCGGTGTCACGTGATCTTGACGATTCTCAGCTCTGATTGGTCGACTCGCTCGCGCGCTTCGTTAGCGCGCTTACGTGTTCATACATGTTCGTACGCGTCGACCGCGCGAATCTCCCTCTTCGACCGCCGATTTTCCGGGCGTTTCTTCGTTCGTTCCTCGCGGACACGAATGTGCCTCTCGGATGGGAATAAGCGGCGTATACGCGCCGCATTTAGTACGTACGATCGTTACCGTACGTTGAAATCAAACGTTGATGATGTAGCGGAGAGAAGTGTGGGAGAGAGAGAGAGAGATGTGTGTGTGCGTGTGAGAAAGAGAGAGAGAACTATTTCTGGATTTACAGAAAATGACAGAAACGCGCGCGCGGGAACTCGGGTGCACGGTAGATCTTGGGAGGTCTTCGCCTGCGAGAATTCCATTTCGAACGCGCGATAGAGAAGAGGAAAAGCATGTGGCCGGCGAAACAGCAACGGAAGGATCGTCCGGCACGGGGGATGTACCGATTTTCTCGCGTTTTCCGCCTACGCGACACGCGCACGTCGTCGCGTAGTCGAGGAGTCTCGGGGCCGACTGAAGTTAGCGCCGATTCGCGCGCCGCCGATGCGTGGGAGCTCGTTAATCGCGCGAGACGAGAGAGTTTAGTCTTTGTATTATGCGCGTAAAATGCTTAACAATTATTAAATAATATTGTTTTTATCGGATCGAGAGTGACAGAACGGCGAAGAGGAACGTGTGTGTATGTGTGCGGGTGTGCATGGTGGCGTATGCGTTAGTATGTGTGTGTGTGTGTGTGTGTGAGAGAGAGAGAAAGAAAGAGAGTTGGGTGCGCGCGTGTGTGTGGATATGCATGTGTGTGTGAGGGAGAGAGGGAGAGAGGAGCAGAGATAGAGAGAGAGAGTGAGAGCGGGAGAGAAATTCAACAACCAGCGTTCATTCTTCGACAACCATATGCAATATAAAATTAAGTATACAGAGCAAAACAGCGAAAACCATCTGTCCTAGTCCTAGTAATCGAACTCATCACCATAATTTATAACCGATTTCAATTTAAATCTAATAAAACGATGTTATAATACCAAAACCTGCCTTCGTTGATTGCGTCTCTCAATGGAACCTTCCCCTCTTTTCATATATATACTTTTAACTTTAATGAGTTCACTTAATATTAACTTTTTCAATCAAGTTAGTTTTGGTTTAGATAATTTTTAACTTAGCTATGTTAATTTTACAGGCTATTAACTTTTAACTTACCTTAGAGCCGATTCCACAACCTTTGGTTAATTTAATCCGCTCATTATTCCATTGGAATTGACCAATTACATTTACCGTTGAGCAGAATCGACCAAAAATAAGCAATCCCGGTTGACACTTAACCGGTCGGTTAAGTTAATCGGAGGTTGTGAGACCTCAAAAGTAAAAATTATCTCACCCAACCCTGCGTTCTACTGATAAATCTTCGTCGACAAGATGAACGACCAAATATGATTCGGATGCGCCAAGATCTCGGCTTTTCAACGAGTCCTACCTGGAGGTCTCTGCGACACCTGGAAGCGAGGATATCGACGATCGTGTCAAGCTGCAAATTGCTAGTTGATCGAGGTCAGTGGCACCTGCTTGCTCAGGTCAATGCGGGAGTGCGCAAGACGTTGCCGCGCAGTCTGTCTCTCTGATTGCTCAGCACACGAGCAACGCGATTATCTTTGTTGCTTGAGCACGTGCTCGAGCACGTGCTTGATCACGTGGTCGTTTGCTTCACGGTGTCCCGTAACCAATGATGGCACCGAGCCACGACGCACACAAGCGTGTCGCGCGGCCGTGAGCGTGCGCAGCTTCTGTCGTCTTCGGCTGACTCGAGCGAGCTGACGTATCTGCTGTCTCTCTCTTCCCGATTGGGAGGCTATTGGTTAACTATTACTACAGCCATCTCGTCGGCAAGATAGTCAGTGTAAGTGAAAATAAGATACTGATGTGCAAATGAAAATAACACGTTTCATATTGCACTGTCGATTAACGTGTTTTAATTAGGTGTTAATTTTTGACGTAATATTTTGTTACTTTCCAACATATTCACCTTGTGTTAAATTAAGATAAAAATTTGAATGTACCTTTTGGGAAATGCGCTAAATTTAACAGAAAATTTCTTGTGTGACAGTCGCATACCATTTTGCAAAATTTGCAATACTTGTTAAGGAATTGGTCAAATGTGAGCACACGGGAAGCGATAGAACGGATTCTGCCTACAACGGCACCGTCTACAAAAAGATGATGTCCAGCTTGTAAAAAAATGTCTTACTTTTCGGGAATCTCCCAGTGAATATCAGCTGATAGCGAGAAGCGTGCTTTTCTCCGGTAATTGGCGGCAATAATTCCTCGGGGACTCTCTGCGTAAAGTAAATTAAATAATTCACACACACGCACACACACACTTTATGTTTTAATGCTTTTTTATTGAATGTTTCTAACTGTTATCAAGAAACAATGTGGTGTCTGTTATACATGTTTATAAACTGGTCTTTGTATATTAAAATTTGTAATTGCGAATGTAACCAATGATATCAGTGTTCCTCCTTCTTCTTCGTCGTCTTGTTTCTCTTTCTACCTTTTTTTGTTAAAGTTTTGGTTCATAACGCGCACTTTCGTAACTCTTAACAGAGAGCAAGCTGTGTGTATCTGTACCTGTTTGACCTCGCGTTTCGTCCCGAGTTTTCGAGAATGTACATTGGCTCGATTGTAAAATACAGAAAGTGCGTTCGCGAAACGAAGAAACTCTCTCGTGGCTACGGGAACCGGTATCGGCCCGCTCATGGTGTGCCCGCGGAAAACGGAAATCCTCACTCAGGGAACTGTTGAAATGTGAATATCCTTTGATATGACACTCGGTAAAAAATACTGCGGCGACGTCTCGCGCTTCTAAGTGAACTCGTGATACAATGTGATACGCGTGTGTATAGGTCGTTACGGGGCTACATCGATGCGACAACGGAGCTCGCGATCGGCATAGGCCGACACACCATGAGCCGATAACGGCCACCTAATAATACGTAAAAATACCTTGTTTCGTTACACCGTAACTTTCCAGGCCATGGACAAGAGAGGGACACTCACGATGATCGGTTCGATTTGTTCGCGGAGCATTGTAAAGTCAAATTATATAGGCCTCCTAACAATAGATAAATAGGTATGTAATCTTGGAGCCGGAGGGATCTGTCGGAACTTCTCGCGCGTCTCGCCGTCGAACGTGTTTTAAACGAATCGTTTCTCAACGTCGCGATTAATTCGAACCAAAGAGAGAGAAAGAGAGAGAGAGAGAGGAAACAAAGAATCGCGAATTTTCGCACCTGTCAGTCCATCAGTCGTCTCAAATAAAATCGTTCTCATCGAACGGTTGCACATCTTTCAGACGTCAATCTTTCCCTATACGGTTATTCGATTTTGGACGAACGACAAGTGAATTTCTTTTCCATGAAAATCGCACGCGCGCAGAGATCCACGTCGACGCGTTTTCGAAGTTAACACGCGTCGTACACATGAGCGGGCAAAAAATAAATACAACTAACGAGCTCCGTCGCGATATTATTTTCCTTCTTTTTTTTTTCTTTTTGTTATCTAACACGGCGATCGCGAGTCGTGCGAGAGAGACGCCGTCAGATCCACCCCAGAGGGCGGCTCCCGTAAACTAAAATCGTGTATCGTGTAGTTTTAGGGTAGTATTAGCTAAGTATAGATAGACATTGCCTATGTACAACCGCAATGACGAGATTGCGTTTACTACTTATTGGCAATCCTAAGTAAAGCTTACGGTTTGAATAAATTTTTCCTTTTCGAGATAATTATTATGTCTTTATATAATAAGTAAGTAATAATTCTATTAGAAATAACAGTACAATATCCGACTGTTACCTGTTGTCGCGTCGTACCCGAGCGGCCGCGGGGCCATTTACAGATTACACTTTTCTAGTTTCTTTTAAAGTTACCTCTTATTACATCCTGCGTGTATTCTTTTGGTTCTGAGAAGTATGTAAGATAATCATTTTCACTATTAATAACTGGCCAATAAGTATCTGCCACTTTTCTTACATCGCTATTTCTATTTACCATATATACAAGTAATATACAGAGCATGGTTTTTACGCCTCCTTAATAATACAAGTAATATTAAAATCTAAACCTCATTAATGTTTTATAGTAATACGAATAGAAACTCGGCTACGTCTAATCCCATCACTGTGCGCTCTAGTTCGCTCCGTCCTCCCTTCCCTCCCTGCCACCCTCTCCCTACGTTCCACCCTGCCCTCCCATCCGCCCTCTCTTGCACAGTGGAATATAAATACATTTTTATATAAAATTTGTATAATCTAGATGAGAGGATCACTTTAAATATATCTTTCATAATCACAAAAGATACAAATGTTTGTAACTATACAAGCAGGGGGTCTTGGGCGGTATCACTCTGGCAGTATCTTTTTATTTATTTTTTTTTTTTCTTTAATACACGGCTACCTCACCTGTATTGTATATGTGTGTGTGTGTGTGTGTGTGTGTTTGTATGTGTGGTGTATGTGTGCGAGCAAATACAGAATTTATTTTCGCATGCTGAATCACCGCGAATTGCCGCGCAAACCACTGCCCTGAGTAAATAATAACGTTAAGCGTGCGTCTGTATATGTACACGGTGGTGATGGTGGTGGTAGGGACGATGCGTCTGCGGCGCGTGTTTCTCCCGCGCGGGAAACATTTCGATTCTCCCTTTTCCGCGGTTTCTTTTCTCTCGCCTTCTAGAAAATTTGATTGTACGCGAAGGATCGCATAGTGCACGAATCTCTCGAGGCCTTGCGGAAATATTGCCACCTCTGCGTAATTTTGATACCTCGGGCTTTTCGGTCGACGAGGCGACCACATAGGGAGCCACACATCGTCTGAAGCGAAAGAGGAGGTTCTCGATCGCGAGGCAAAAGGAAAAAAATCAATCGATCGCGAAACACAGCGCGCGCATTGACAGCATAAACGCAATTCAAAAACGCGTCACGCACAAATTGCGGTCAAATAAAGCGAATCGAGAAACACGTACATACATTGACACACGCGTCAAAATGTGAAAATAAATTCCATATGTGTATATTTTCACTCTCCCTCCCTGTCTCCCGCCCCTCTCTTTCTCTCTTCTCCGTCCTTCCAATATATCTCTCTACTCCCTTTCTCTTCAGAATTGTAAAAAGACGTTATAGAAAACCCATCGCGTTAACGTTATCTAAAATAGAAAATTGCGACTCCACCGAAAATATTGTTACCGGTAAAAAGAAAAAAAAAATTCTACACAAACGGTACAGCTCTTTGCGCGTTCTGGAGTTCGAGAATACACGCAACACACGTAATATCTTACCCTTCACCCCTTAAGTATTCGTGTTAAAATGTGTATATGACACGTGCGTGTCACAGATGTCCGCGGAACATTTTTGTAAAAACGGATTCAAACTGTATCCATCGTCACGCGCGTCCGAACTTGTCCGAACTTAGTCCGAAGTTAGTAACTATTATTCTCGCGATTGTGCAGCAATGACCGAATATATATGTTTCTCCTCGCTACGATAAGTGAGGATGTCCGATTATAAAAATTGCAGCGTCAACTAACAGCGCGAATGTGTTACGCGTGTGTTACTTTTGCCCCGGGATAATATCTAATCGTTTTTCTCTCCGAAATCATAATCGAGACAAATCGTGTCTTCCCTCTTCCCTCCCTCTCCTTCCCTTCGCATTTCGCGCAATTTTCACCTCGGGAGATACATCATACCGCTGTTCTTTTCACCGTAATCTCGTTTGCTATTAAGTTTCCAGGGTGAAGCCCGATATCCCCTAAGTTAATTCACTTCCATCTGTTCGCCACTAATTGTTTGAAAGGAAAGGAACACTATATGCACTATATTCATTAATAAGCAAGGTGGCTCTGTCTCTCTCTCCCAACAGATGAACGTCTTAACTGGATTAAAACTTATTTACAAAAGTAGATACTGTACAGTTATCGTTCTGGTCGCGATGTAGGTCTATCATAGCCTCCGAGTGCGAGTAGACCGGTGTTTTTTTTGCAGGTAAAGAATGTGTATTGCAAGGACAACCCCGAGAATTGAGTCTCTCAAGACTTCAAGTTTCAAATGGCAAAACAATATGTGTACGTGAGGAAATGCACAATCCGACAACCCTTGATGAAGAACGTTCGTGAATTAAATTAAGTCGGCCTTTGATTATCCTCCTATTTGATCCACGATACAACGCAATTTCGTTCGCACGAAAACACAGAAAACCCTCCTCCCCCCTCCCCGTCTCTCTCACTCAAAAGTGTGAATGCCGCCGCTACGTTAAAACTATTTCTGGAATATTTTTTTCTTCCTGAGGCGCGGCATGACGCGCTTTATTATCGAACATTAAAAACATGCCTCCGCCGGAACGAGAGACACGTTCTTAATAATAATGACAGCACAGTGCTATCCGTGCAATAACATCTTCACAGCGAGTGTCACTATTTTACGGTATCTCTCCGTACTGTCACGCTTCTTCAATGTCGCCACTTAAACCCTAAAATTCCGTCCTAACCTCTATAGGAATATTATTATAACTACAACTATAGTTTTTTTGTACCATTGATTAGGTGAGAGCACCCATAGTGACGCTAATAAAATTTGAATCCCCTCACTACAAGTGTCCGCGCGTACAGTGAGTATAGTGGGTTCCGTAAACCTACTCTCCCGCGACGTCATCAATGGGCCCAGAAAATCGGCGAATTTTGTGCAACCTTGCGCAAGGATTGTGCGCAGGCCTGGGAGGCGGGCCGTATATATTTCGCGGTCGCCCGTTCCGAGGAATTCGTGCGGAAGTACACTGTAGCCATAGAATAATATTTGCAGCGAGGTGTCAACTCTCTCTCCTTCCTTCTCCCTCCTTCTTCCTCCCCCTCTTTACCCCTCTGTCCTTCTCTCTCTCACTCTCTCCCGTCACTTCATAGAAAGTGAGAGTCGAGCGCGATTTGATTACAGCCCGACAGACTACCAGCTCGCACGGTTCCTCTCTTCTTAATCGAAAAGCGCCAATATGTCGTCGCTGGAGGAAGGGTTGCCGCTGCTAGCGCCACTGCTGGGTGGAGTGTTTAGGTCCGGTGGATCGAGGTACGACAGGAAGTCCATCGCGTCCACAACGTTGTCCGACAAGAGCTGCAACAGGAAGAAGGAGCGTCGTTGAGATCGAACGTTCTCCGCGCCGGTGCGAGAAATCGAAAACGCGCTCACATTTAACGCCTCCTGACCAGTGCCTTCCCCGTCTATGACCGCGGCGGGGTCGAAATTCAGATCCGACGGTATATCCGCGGTGGCGTTGTTGTCGTTATTTATGGTCGTACTCGTGCTGCCGGAGGTGTTGTGGTTCCCCGTCGACTCCTGCGACGCAGGTGGAACGCTCGGTGGGCCGCTGTTGCCGCCACCCGGAGTGTGAGGCGTCGATTGCGGGGTGTGCGGCGTGTGCGGGGTATGAGGCATCTGAAACGCGTGCACAATTACCGTCTAAGTGTCGCACGAAAGATGTTTGCCGACAAGGCGCGCCCCGGAATCATCCCAGAATGTTACCAGGATGCCCCGGGGAATATCTCAGAGCGTCCTGAGCGCACCGGGGATGTTCTCAGAATATTTTATGATATATCTAGGCGCTAATGTAATAATATTATTAACAAGATAAAAAGAATATTTGTAACAATATATTTTTATCCAACACTTAGACACTGGCTCATATACAAGAGACAGCTTTCGTTACTAAGCTGACCGAGAAGCTTTCAAACTAGTATTAAGGTAAACACCTCAGTGATTGAACATACACGTTCCAAAGATTCAAATATTATTGATGTATTTTCCTTCGTTAAGATGCACCTCAATGTACGGAACAATGTAATAAATGAAATGTTTAGTTAGTTTGTAATTTTCATTTATCGATAGGCATCTTAATAAGTACACATATATTATTAACGTTTCAATCATCGGGACAATCACAGAGGACGTTTGCTTTATTGCCAAACCCAATATCGTCGATAATGCGTACCTGTTCGTTAATCGACTTCTCTATAGCATTGAGAGTGTCGAGCGTATTAACGGACTCATTCAGGTGCGAGAGCGGGCCGGCGCCGCTTGCGTAATCGTTACTGCCGGAGGTGTTCGTCGCCGAGTTGATCTCGTACGTTCCGCCCGAGGTGTTCCGGTGGTTAATGTTGTTCATCATGGAGCCGCTCACGATGCTGCTCATGTCGGGCGGTAAGTAGGGGCTCATCGCCTGATTCATCTCCCAGTTGTTCATGGTCGGCATGTTCATGCTGCCCGGCGACATCGCCTTGGCCGTTGTTCTCTTGTACTCGTTCTCCTCCTCGGACTTGATGCCGGCTAAGCTGCTCTTCGTGGCTTTCCAGTTGGCGAGCGAGTCTATCGTCACCTCGTCGACCTCCGCGGTGTTCACCGTATTTAAAATCCCCCATATGTACTGGTCGACCTCCAAGCCTTCCAATTGCGCGGGTTTCCTGCAAAGATACGCGACGATTTATCGTCCCGTTCGGTTCTTCCCCCCTTCTCTCTTTCTTATTTCGACTCGCATGTGTAACGGTTCAATTAAGGTGGCTGTAAGGCGAAATGAGTTTCATAAGAATTTGGTTAAACATGCACTATGTGTACACTGATTTAACAGCTCCCGTAATTATTGTATATTACGTAACAATAGTAATAACAGAAGGTAACCGGTCAGCTAAAGCAACACCAGCTAATACAAATTTCCGAAACCGACAAACGAAAACGAAGAAAGTGCCATGTATGTTCCGAAAACAAAAAAGGAGGACAACAAATTTAATCTATAAGTCTTGTGGAGTCGCGTTACACCTCGGAGATTGTTTTGCTTCATATCTAAAAGAGAAACACTAAGTACCCAATAAAATATTAATAAATAAATAAATATATAATACAAAAAAATGTTACATTTATTTACATATATCCTCGAAATTTCATGAAAATAGCGGGACAGGATTGAAAACTAATGAGAACTGACGATTTATGATCTCCCGAAAACCTCGAAAAATCGCCGGCGCCAAATAAAAAAAATCCTAATGAAACGTGCGGACGGCAAAGTGTTAATAAGAAAACAAATATTTTCGCATTTGTAATATTGTACACATATGTTCACCTCGACTTCGTTTCGAATTAACATTGACTATCAAGTGAAATTAATGTAACTTTGCTTGGCGAATACTAAATTTACAAACGGGCCACTCGACGTGCGCGCCACTGGAAATACGATGCTTACAATCTCCTTAATTGCGCCGTTCAATCGAATTATACTTACGAGCACACCGGACACCTCCAAGAGCCTCGTTCGCAATTCAACTGCAGATACGACTCCAGATCGAAGCACTGCACATGCTTGCAGTCGTGCCCTCTAGCTGGCAGTGTAATGCGTTTGAATGTAATAGGACACTTTAAGGATACCTGCGGGCGAGAAAATGGGGTGAGAGAATGTAACGAAAGCGGGGCCACTTTACGGCTGAACTCTGCCGGAGTCAAACGGAAGCTACGAAGCATCGAGCAACGATCGTTACCTTCAGTGCTGTTTGCTCCACCACGTCCTTCTCCGACTGTATGCCATTGGTCGAGATTGTACTGTTGAAATTTTTTTTGATTTTACTTATGCAATTATCCGCCGCCAGAAGCCTTTTACGCAGTAATCCCTGGAGTACACTTCGCACGCTGGGCCGGTGGACCAGTTGGAGGACAAACAGGTGCGACTGTGTGAAATTCGGCTTCGTTAAATTAAGTCTCGTCGGTAAGAATTCTGGAGAATTACGTGCAAGAAAGGGGGAATAATAATGAAAACGAAAGAGAAAAATAATAAAAAAAAAAAAATATCTGAAAAATACTTGGGTATAATAACACGTCAGAAAAGTTACTTCGCATAAAGAATGCGACGAGTCAAAGGTTATCTACAAAGAGGGAACTCTCGCTCTCGAGCACGACGTTAGTTGAGGCGTTTGCGAGTACCTCCTTCCGAATCGCACACACGTCAGTCTCGTTATCGTCAGTCTGGATATCGGGGAACTTACACAGCAGCACGCGGACACGGTGATCTGTATTGTGTTCCTCCCGATTTGGCAGACATCCTTTAAGTAAAGAGGCTTGTGGGTAGTTTTGTTCTCGCCGCGATCGATCACGAGAGGATTCGCGTTGACGGAAACCTGCACGCTCGCCGGCCAGTTCGTATTCATCTGCCTGTCCTCGTGGTGGAAACACTTGAGCTGCAGCTCCAAATCGGATCGCCACATCAGCGTCTGATGCACCGTGGGCTTCAGTTGGAACGCGTGATTACTAACGGCCAGATTGTGCTCGAGGCGGAAGGGCGGGAGAATGATGCCGTCTCTCACGGGGAATGTCAGTCTCAATTCTTCATCTGGAATAAAGAGGCGGTTAATATGAGGTGAATCATTGATACGGAGGGAACAGCAGAAACGTTGCATAAATGGTCATTTAAGATTTCATTATCTACTAAATAATAATAAGAAATAAATAAATGCGCAATAAAAGAAACGATAAACGAAAAGTCATGAGAGAAATATTAAGTAATAAGTAAAAACGCAAAATGACAATGAAGATGAATAATTATTTATTGCTACGGCAAATATATTTTCAGGAAAGATCGCACCACCTCACCGAATTCTTGTAGTTTTGGATATACATTGTAGGGAAGATTATTGAAAGCGAAGAACCAAGTGGGGAGAACGGCGTTAACAGTCGAGATATCATGAAATTAAATTGAAAATTATTTGTCTCGGAGATTGCTGAAAATGACCTCCTGCGAGAGAACCAAATGGAGGACGACGTTAATAGTCGAGACATCGCGAGATGAAATTGAAAATGACGCTTCGTCCGGGGGTCACGTTTAACAGTAACTTCCCTGCAATATATACATATTAATTGCGGAAGAATCGATGCGGCGTGGCCTTCTCTGGAGATATCCGCCGTTATTATTATTTATTATCACCATCATCGTAAGGATGACCGAGTGTTCTCGGTTGTAGGAGAATAAATAAAACAATAAAAAAACAAAAGAAATAAAAAAAAATAAAAGAAATAAAACAAACCCCAGAAATGCAAACTTCTGTAGCCCATTGGCTCTCTTCCTGATATAATTGGCTTTTGATAAAAATACGAACGTTGGAATTCGCCGGTTCGAACGGTACCGCACTGCGTCCCGCACGGGCAAGGGCTACTTTCGGTCGGGAGACCCGCGTCCCCGGTCACACACTCACTCTGTATGTTAACCGGCGACTTCAAGTCGTTGAAGCTCGGCTTGAGGTCGGGATTCGGGCTGATGTAAGGCGGCATGCTGGTGGCGGGCGTCAACGGCGGCGTCGGGTTGCCGGGTATCGGGCTGTGCTGATAGCTGACGTTGCCGCCGCTCGTCGACTTCATCGACGCCGCGACGTCCTGCTGATATTGGCTGGTCGCCACCACGGCGCCGGCGGACGCGGCGCCGTAGCTACCGGTAGCGGCGCCACCGCCACCGCCGCCGCCCCCGTAGCCCGCGTTCGGCTGTTGGTGACCTACGAACTGACCGGTGACCGCCCCCGTGCCGGTCGGCCCCATGCTGACCGGCACTCCGGCGTTGCTGTAATATTGGTTCGCGGCGACCGCCTGCGACGCCGCGTTGTAAGATGGCGCCGCCTGCCTCATATTCGAGCCCCGTATCATCGCGGTGTTGGGCCCGAAGACGCCCGCCGCGGTGGCGGCCGCGTTCGGTATCATGCTCTGCGTGGGCTGCTGGTACTGCGGCTGGAAGCTCGGCCGCGCGCCGCTGGGATAGCTGCTCGGGTACTGCGACGCCGTCATGCCGTTGAAGCCGCCCGGCTGCATCGCCGCCGGACTGTGGCCCGGGTACGACGGCACCTGCTGCCGCTTCTGCGCGATGTGCACCGTGGGGGCGGGGTAAGGCGCCAGCCGCCGAGAGTAGCCTTGGTGCGGTTGAGCCTGCACCGAGGATAAGCTTTCCTTAGTATTTCTACTGAAATCCGCCTCGCAGAAACAACACGCCTGTACTTGTGATATCATTTGCTCGGGGAGACATTTTACCGTCTTATTCGGTCCTTTGACAGAAAGAACGACGTTATTTCAAGTAATATCTTTCAACCGAGCGAAACGACTTCTTTGTAAGAAAATGAACTTTCGTTTCAAACAGATTCTTTTATTCGAGATCAGGATACGTATTCGTCGGGGAGTCTGACGATCGTATTTATTAATCGAGACGCGGGATTCTTTTTGGAGCACGCCGATGACGAGATTTTCGATGCAATAAAATTGGTGAAATTTGAAGAAATCCTCGTCCCGCCGACGACGACGAAGTGAGCTTCCTTGAAGTGGAATCTCAAAATGACCGAGTCGCTCGAATTCGAGTGACTTTTTCACTCATTCAGAGTGCGAATTCTCCGCTCTGAATCGTCGAGCGAACGTTTTCGCTCGGCGACTGAAGAATGAAAACGACATATGGTCGGTCGTAAAAAGGCTGTCGCGACGCTTTTCTCTTGATAAGTCTCGGCAATCGCATACCGTGTCCAATGAGAGAATAGGTTTTTCAGTAATTCTCAGAAGAGAGACGTTCCTCCTATCGGATCTACGGGATGCGTCGTGAAATTCATCTACGAAAGAAGCGTTCCGATCTTTTCGTGACTTCCCATATCCCGCCGTCCGGTCAACATATTCACCTGAATCGATCGAAACGTTCGCTCACACGAAATCTAAAGGCTTGAGCGAAACCATCCACTCTCGCGACTTCGAGTGGCTGTATTTTCACTACCGCCCCACTTTTCGCTCATTTCGAGTGAGATTCCGCGAAATTTAGAGAGTACATCTCGCCGTCGGGACGAGGAGGTGGAGAGTCGTCCGACTAACGTCGATGAGACGTGAATGGCAGAAGAAAAAAGACGAGAAAGAAACGCACCTGCTGCATTGCGGCCATCTTGTTCATCTGTATATTGTTGGGTCCCATCATGTTGCTCATCGCCATGTTGCCCATGCCGCTCATGGAGCCCATGGGGTTCATCGCGTTCATACCGCTCATACTGCTCATACCTCCCATCGTCATGGGATTCATCGTGTTCATGCCATTCATACTGTTCATCGAATTCATGGAATTCATAGTGTGCATCGGGCTGACGGTGCCTATGTTACTGAAATTGTTCATCCCGACTGGCCCCATTCCCGCCATTGGTCCTCGCTGACCGTACCCCGCGTTGTACGGCGGTACGGTTTGATGGGGTATTCCATGTTGGCTCTGCATCTGAAATTGACAACAGCAATAACGACAATGACGATAATAGTAATCATCATCGTCATCACGATGACGTCACGGTGATCAGTGGCGATTTAGTCAAGCAAATAGAAATACCGAATCTAAAGAAACCCCTTTCTCCGTGCAGAGCGAAAAATCAAATCGGAGCAACAACGACGCATCTCCCGTACGGTGGATCTCGCGAGACGACCGTTTTCTTCCTACCGTTTTTCGTACACTCGCGTAATTACCTGATTGTACTGTGCGGAGATGTCCTGACGGTCCTGCATGGCCACCACGCTGGCAGTGGCGGTGACCGCAGCAGTGGCAGCTGCCACCATCGCCGCGAGACGATGTGAACCACCACCCCCGGTTCCGGGGTGCTACCGCGCTATGATAGCCGGATGATGATGATGATGATGATGAGGTGGACGACGGCGACGATGATTGCCGGCACTCCCGACGCCGACGATCGCCGACGATCCCTCAGCGGGACGCGGCCGACGTAGCGGGGAGGGAACCCTCTTGTACGTCGACGGGCCCCTTCGCGACGTGGACGCGCGGAACACGCGAAGGCGTGACGGTAAGCCTATAGACGGCCTGAAACGGAGAAAGAGATACGTCACTTGTGGGGTAAAATTATTTTCGAACGGAGAATTCTTCGGGCTCGGTAAAAGTTTCTTTCGACGACAACAAACTTGTCTTCTTGGAATGGTGGAGTAAACAAATGAACGTTGGATTCGTTTGTGCGTTTCCGCTATGTTGCAGAATTCAAGATTTCAATTAAGACAGCGCCGAAATTTCTACTAAAAAATTCGAGTCTAATAGCGGATGGAATGAAATTGCGGACCTGGTTGCCCGACATTCGCAACGCACGCACGGGGCGGTACAGGGTCGACCCTTATATCCCGCGAATAATCCTTTCTTATTAATATTAAATATCCCCCTCTGAATTCCACGAACCTTCACAGAAAACTCGCTCAGTTAGCGTAGCGAAAAAATACTCGGCCTCAGCCGGAGGCTATAGTAATTTCATTTCTTTTTCCTCTTTCGGAAAATCGATGCGTCAGCCGGCAATCGCCGACGGAGAAACAGAGGCGAACGTTAGAAACTGCGGCGACGGCGGCGTCGAAGTTGGAATATCGGTGTCGAAATAAAATATGACGCAGGCGTTGCGATTGACGTTTCGGCTCTATATTTGAGTCCCCTTCGAGACCGTTCTCGGCGGATATAGCGATATATAGTGTAAGCTGCATCGCTAATCCGTATTATAGCGGTACAAGATTGCTTTCGACACGATGCTGCGAGAAGTCACGAGTTGTCGGGAACGGCTCTCGAGTGTGCGTATTTTCTCCCGCTTCTCATAAAAATCACGCATGATGAGAGTTAAACGGTCAGTCGGACACGCGTTATTAACGAGAGACGCTTTTCAGCGTCGGAGGGGCGTGATACCTGAACGGCGACGGTTACCTGACGGTTGCCATTGTGCGTATCTTCTCAGACGATCTGGAACGATCTTGCGGCTTAGAGACTCCGTAATGCGCAACGAAGAACGATGATAATAAGTCGTCAATCACGCCGGCGCGAGTTAAATCGGTTTAAATGGCAGTGTGAACTTTCGCATTCGCGACAGAAAGGCGGTGGATTACCGTTCGCTAAGTCAAGATCATACCCGGAGTATCTCGAGAGCCCCCTCCGCGAGCGCGCGCTTCCCCGCCGAGCGGATTTCTGCCAATCGATATATAGTCCCTCTGTTTGGCGTATCGCAACGGATCTTTATTTCATAACCGTGTGCGACGTAGTAATAACACACGCTGGAATCATTCACGATACTTGAATAATTCGAGAAGGTCACGTTTCTTGCTCGACATTATCGTTCTGTTCAAACAAATTTCATTTCGTAACACTCGGCGGGCGCGCGCGCGCGCCCGCCCGACGATTGAAAATTCCCCGACACGGGGAAAAACGCGAAGGTATTCTCGTAATGTTTCGCGCACACGTATTGCATTTGATAACGCAATACATTAACACGCGTGCGCATCAATCGGAGAGTTGGGGGAGGAAAAAAAAAGAGAGAAAGAAAAAAATTCCCAATGTCCACGCGCGCTGTTCGGAATGTTCGGAGGCGGCGATAAAATAAATAATAGTCGGGGATGGATGTCGATTTCCCTCTCAACGCCTCATCAATAATTTACGCCGTTCGTGCGCACCACGACAGTCGACGATATGTACAACGGTGAAATAAAATACTAGTCGATAGTATTTTTTTTTCTTTTAAATGGCCGTCCATCCCTACAACGCGCGCGCGCGCGAAGCGGAGCCGAACCCCGAGAGAGCCGACCGACCGTGTTCCCAGCTGGCCACGCCGCGGCGCGTAGCCCCCATTGCTTTTCTGTGGGAAATGCACGTGCTCGCTATTCACACACCGCGCCGCGCTCATAATACGCGCCTTACCCCGCGCGCGCGCGCTGCAAAACACGGCGTGCGAGAGAAGGAGAGCTCGGGGAAGCGGAAAGCGGTCGGAGCTTCCACCGGCGATGCCACGATTTCCGATGGGCTCGAATCTTACGTGACGAAAGAGGCCGTGACAACTTTCCGCTTCCCGGGACGCGACAGAGATGAAAGAGAGAAACGGCGTTGGCGGTTATTCGGCGATCTGAAGACTTTCTTTAAAGTAACAGATTTGTTCTTTTCTTCTCGTAATTACGTCCATGAGATATGAAACGGGCGAAGTGAAAAAGTAGGGGGGGTGAAAGCTAAGCTGCAGGATCCGAGTCGGACAACAGTAAGGTCGAGAGGTTTTTCTTTTTTTATCGGCGAATTCCACTCATATTGCTTCGAATTAGTGCGTGCACGGTAAAAATGTCAACGCTTGGACGAAAGTACAAAAGCAACATGTCGTTCGACGTGAAGATTATGTATCGCTTGAGAAGATCAATCAAACAATTCCCATTTGTCGAGTCGAACATTTATTTGCCTCATTCCAAATTTGTCTCGATTGAGAAAGAATCGGGTAGAAAAAAATGTCTCCTCCGTCTACGAATGAATGTTGTGCGCTCTCGGACGGAAGTTATCGGCCGCGCCGCCAGGTAGACTCGAGACTCCGGAGCGCGATTGCGCGGTGAGCATAGTCGGTCGCAAAAATGCAGAGTACCAACCGAGAGAGTGAGTGGAAGGGGGGAGGGGAGGGGGAACGGAGAGAGACGGACGGGTGGCACGTGAGGAGGAGCGGTGCGCGTGTTTAACGTGGCGCGATCTTCTTCGCGATATATCGGATTACCACGTGCGTACGACGAGTTTTGCGCGTGCCCGCGAACGGTACCGTGATAATAACGCTGGTTGGGCGCAAAAGCAGAAGCGTCGTCCGACAGTTCCTTATCTACCCGTTACCCGATTCCCCGTTGCGTAAGCCTTCACGCGGATCGCGGGCCCGCGTCGATCAGCGTTTTTCGCACACGTACGTGAACACCTCGAATGTACCGATCCCGACCGTCCGAGAGTGTCCTCTCGATCAACGGGGTGACACAAGCCGCGAAAAAACGGCGAAATCTCGTGTCGCTCGCGAGAAAAAAGCTAATCATCAAGTCGGTAATTTCGAGAACGATATACATCGGCGCCCTTGGTAGCGCAAATAGAAGAAAGAAAAGCCGGTCGACGGGAGTTTGGAAAGCAAGTCGGACGTTGAAATCGAGGCCTCGTGCCGCCAATTCGCTTCCGTTCACGTAAACTTGCTCGCATGCGATTCCCGGCCGAAAGCGGCTCCCTTCCGCGCGGCTGTTCCGTCGCTCATATACTTTCTCCGAAGCGCGAATTCGTCACTTCTTCGCACACGCCGGATATATCGAGCACGAGTCGGCTTTTTCGACGGTGTCGGATCGAACGGTCCATCCCCGTTGTCGAGTTCGCGCGTAAAAGAAGAAGAAGCCGAGCGCGAAAGTCGCAGTCGCGCGAAGGCCGCGTTGAATTTCACACGCAAAATCGCCGCGGTAGCGCGAGCGAGATTCGCGCCCGGAACAATAACACTGCCAAACAATGTAATCGACCGACTCTAGATAAGATATTATCTTCCCGAACGTTTTTCAAGTACGGCGCGATAATAAAAAGACGGACAGAACGACCGAAAGGCCGATCATTCGGGCAGCCGCGTATAAGTCGGCGAAGATGCCTGTCGCATTTCTCGCTCGCCTCGCGATCGGATTATTTTCGCAGCTTATTTTCGGAGGAATACCTTACCGCCACACACGAGACGATTATCAAAGCGCACGCGCCGAAAAAGTATCTCGAGTACATTGAGAAAAAAAAGACTTAAGAATTTATTTAAGTATATTAGGTTTATCTCACAGAAATGATTTATTTCTATGAAATAAACCTGATATCCAACAAATACATTTTTTAGTACTTTTTTTCTCAAGTGTACGTCGGATCGAGAACAATTGTCTCGTTTGGGTCGCTCAAGATATTCGTGCGTTTAACCTTTCGCCGTTTTGTGCTGCATCTACCTTGACATCGTGTTTCGCTTTAGTCGGCTCTACACTGAGAAAAAAAGTACTTAAAGATTTATTTGGGGAGGGGGTATAAGGTTTGTCTCACTGAAACAAGGTTTGTTCTACGAAATAAACCTTATATTCCACAAATCAATTTTTAAACACTTTTTCTCAGTGCATACACAGAAAAGAATTTCTTTGAATTTGGTTCGCGTGTTTGTTTGACTCGAGTTTATTTAATATAAACAATACAATATCAAATATCATTTTGTTTGAAAGTGTTGTTTCGCTAAAGTAGTTGGCAGAAAAAAACAGTATTATTTGGAGGAAATAATAATTAGTTTCCGATAAAAAAGAAAATTTATTTCGTTATGTATCAAATATTGCTCCATTGAAACACAAAGGAATTCTTTCATATTTTTCTAACATAGCGTTACTTCTCTCAAATAATTTACTGTCGTGACAATTGTAATGACTGAATACAAATACAAAAGAAATATATTATTTCACGTGAAGATATTTGTTGTTTGAAGAACCACACAATCCCGTTGGTTGGATCGAACATTTATTTGGTTGCTGGATTCTAACCGAAAAATTTGTTTCGATCAAAGAAGTTCGATTAAATCCAAAGAACTTTTTTTTGTGTAAAAACCAACTTTTTACATTCATTAATATTACACTTAATATAAATAAATAAGTACAAACAAATAAGCATATATATAATTATATCAATGATATATAGCACAGAATATATTACTGTACATGCTTACAGATTAGATAACCACGGAATATATTGAGACAAAAGCGAGCTGCACGCGATATTGTCGTCGTATACCGTCGCCGTAATAAATAAATTCCTACGGATCGATCGAGAAGAAAAGTCGGAAACGATCGGGGTCCCGTAAAGGGTTAATGGATCAACCGTGTCGCGAGTCTCGTCGACAACTCGCCGCCGTCTATCGTCCATTTTCGCAGACGCGCGTCGCGGGTGTCAGGTGTCCCTCCTGAACGGTTTTTTGCACACATACATTTTGCTCAGTAATATATTTCACGTCCACGCCCGACCGTTCCGACCGGATCAAGCGCAGGGGACAAACAAAATGGAAAAATCGCGCT